TTTTATTAAACTGGGTTTGGACGATTGGATGTTTGAATACACGTATAAAAAATACGTAAAATTAAAAAAAATATATACTGCATTGCAATTGTCACTTATTTGACTAAACTATTTTGCACTAAAGTCGGAGATGGCTAATTGTCAATTTTAGTGTGTAGATCTGTTTTGTAGCAATTTCATTTTTACACTTTATACGTTGAAACACAGAGCGTGCATGTATGCATCAGTCATTACTTGATTGAGATAAGATATTTGAATATGAATTAAAAAAAATAACAAAAATAATTTCGCTACATTTTTTTATTAAATCGGTTGAACCATATCTAATGTGTAAATAGCTAATGTTTGTACACAAAAAGAAAAAACAAACAAACAAAACTATGCTATCCATTTTTTTTTATTCAAATGCTGAAAACAATCAGAACATTTCATATAAGTGACTCGTGAACTAATAAAATTATTCGTTATCAATACATGTAAAGGAAAGGATATACATATTATATATATTATATCATCTCAATGTACATGCATATGTTATAATGGATATCAAACAGTTAAAACGATATTCAAACTGTTCGTGCATATAAAATAAATATATAAATACATGTATATATATGGAAGATAATTTCGTCATAAATTAACACTGTTAGAATTTTTTAAAATAATAAAACAATGTTCCGGAAACTATAATAAGAGGGGGAAGTCTCGCTATGAATGGGGGAAGGCTGGCTATAAAGTGAGCCTTCCCCCGGAAGAACGGCTACCAGGGTATATAGTGAAACTTCCGTGGGGGAAGTCTCACTATACAGCCATTCTTCCGGGGGGAAGGCTCACTATATAGCCAGCCTTCCGGGGGGAAGGCTCACTATATAGCCAGCCTTCCGGGGGGAAGCCTCACTATGGGGGAAGTCTCACTATACGACAGCGGAACTATCATGTCCTCCGCCATGACCACGAGAACACGTGGAAGTGCCAGTCGAAGTCGACAAACTCGACGACGAACGTAAGTTAGATGGTGTCTTCTCCGAAGACGATGATTTGTTCGGGGCTTTTTTCTTTCCCTTGACCGATGCTTTATCATCGTCAGGGTTAGCATGGTTAGGAGCGTCCGCCATGACGCACGTGATTTGAACTTTCAAAACCGATGAAAAAATATCTGACCACGTCAGACAAAATCGCCCCCGAATACTGATCTGACCACGTCAGAAACGATAATGAACTCTGAAAAAGTTCTAAGAATATATTGACCTCGTCAATATGTAAAAATATATCAAAAATGATCGAGCATGTAAGACCACGTCTACTCGCTCCGGCTACTTGCAGTTCAATGACTTGGCGGCTGCGCAGTACTATTCACATTATCTCGGAAGTGACGTTTACGAAAAATAATTATCAGTAGGTAAGGTAGATTGAGTATGTCCTTAATTAATATCTTACCTGGACAAATTACCGCTAAGCACTCATTTTTATGCCCTTGTAATCGAAGATTCGGGGTATATAGTTTTTCCCTGTTCGTCCACCTATCTGGCTGTTTGTCCGCAAAAATATTAACCTTACTATAACTTTTGACTGGGTGGAGCTATGGCTTTCATGTTTCACAGGTGTATCCCTTGTGACAAGACCTTCTTTGGGCACCACTAAATTTGACCTTTACACTTTGACCTTGGAGTTTGACACACTTGAATTCCAAACTATTACTTGTGCCATAAGTTTTGAACAATTGGTGCTAGGACTTTCAATCATTACTTTATTTTTTGTGGCAAAAACTTTCATTTGATACCAACAACTTTGACCTTTTGACCCGTTGGAGATCGTCCTACTTTTAAAACCTGTAACACTGACCATAACTTTTGAACGGTAAGGGCTTGGGCTTTCATACTTCATATATGTAATACTTGTGAGAAGACCTTTCATTGGATACTAACAACTTTGACCTTGACCTACTTTTTAAATCCTTTAACCTTGGCCATTTACATTAACGGTTAGGGCTACGGCTTTCATACTTCAAATATGTAATCCTTGTGACAAGATCTCTCTTTAGAAAGCAACAACTGTCCCTTTGAATTTGACCCAGAGTTTGATCTACCTTTAAAAACCTTGAATTGATTGTGTGTTGTTTAACGTCCCTCTCGGGAATTTTTCACTCATATGGGGACACCACCACTTGCCGGTGGAGAGCTGCAAATTTTGTCCTATACTAGGCACTCAGGGCCATTGACCAGGGAGGTTTTTTTTTCGTACCAGTACCTACTGCGACACTGGTCCTCGGTTTATACGGTCTCATCCGTAGGTCCGGTCCCCACGTCTCACAGTGGGATTCGTAAAACCCTTTGAATCTTGGCCATAACATTTGAAAAGATGGTGCTAGGGCTTTCATATTTCACAATTGTATTTCTTTGCGAGAAGGGATTACTTTTGGCACCAACTTTGAGAAAATTTAACCTTTGATTTGTTGCCATGAAGAGGCATCGGTGTTTCACAAACACATCTTGTTTTCTATAAGGAACGGCCAACCCCAAATAATTTTGCCGATGTATGTACAAAACAACAAAACATAACTATATGCTTGTGCCCCCTCAATATAATTTTCTTTTGCTTTTTTGGAAGTTCATAGTGCCCCCATTGAAAATATAACCCCCCCCCACCCCCGAAATTGATTACTACGTGCCTGTAGGCCTACTGGCAAGAATAACAAACGCATAAAAATGATTACTATGAGTCTGTACTGGCAAAAATAACAAAGGCATAAGAAGCATCTTATTTTATTACTATGTTTTTTTTTTTTGTTTTAGCTAAATGAGAAAGTATTTACATTAAAATACATTTAAGCAATTACAGAAAACTAAACTCATATGGTCATGAGATTTTTTTTAAATGCTTTTGTTTAATAAAATACATGTCAACACTATTATAATAAAAAAAGAAACTGAAGAAAGCAACATAATAAAACCAAGAATAAGAAAGTATGTAAATATAACAATTGGTATAAAAGGGTCAACTTTCTTTTTCAGATCAAAATGACTTCACATACATGTTAGAAAAAGGGGCTTCGGGACATTGATGGTCATCTGAGTATAAAGAGTATCTAGAGCTATGATCAATTTACTTCCGATCGAAACTTAAACTGAATTTAGAAAGCACGTAGAGAACCCATAATTCATGAAAGCATGTCTCCTGAATCTTTCAGAATAAAGAACATGACACACTGTTTATTCATGATCAACTTAGCCTCCTCCCCAGTTCCGACTGCTATACCCATGACATTAATTTTATAATTTTGGAGAGTTACGCGGTACAAACAATTTGCTGGTCATAAATCCACAATTAAATACACATTTTCAAAGATTTGACTTCCTTTTCGACCATCCCTACTTTTGGTATATAACCAACTTTTTCATAACTTGGGAAGTTTAGCTTTTATTTTCATCATGAAAATAGCTTACATGCTAATGTCCATGAAAAGAAAAAAATTAATTTGTAATGCATTTTACCAACAAGGCCCAACCCTACCGCCTGACAAATAAAAAAAGTGTCAGTAATTTGAAATTGTTCAAGTACTTTAAGAAGTTCATGGGCTAAATGTTCACTTAAGCCACAATATACCTCTCCTTTCTTGACCAACCTTCTTTTACCTACATATTTTATGTCAAACTTAGAATACATACTACCCTCTGGCTCAGATGAACTAAATACTGTGGGATCACTAAATCCAGGAAGCATGAATTTTAACAATTTTTCAAAGGTGTAGCACACTTCCAATTTTGACAACAATTTCACTGTTTAATGTTCAGGGGTAAAGATTTTTTTTATGAAGATAGCAGTTTTTTTTTCATGAAGATTGCATTCAGTTTGGGCCACACGCCTCAAAATCCTTGGAGGATTCATAATTACTGTAGAGGCTATGTACAACAAGAGGCCCACAGGCCACATCACTCGCCTGAGTAACTGGCCATTCTGTTCTTTACCCGACCCCCCGACCCACGTAATACCTATTGTGACCCACCCTACCCCAGAGGGTCATGAATTGGACAATTTAGAATCTACACTACACCAGGTTGCTTCCATGTAAGTTTAAGCTTTTCTGGCCCAGTGGTTTTTGAGAAGAAGACTTTAAAGTTTTTCCCTATATACATGTATTTCAATGTAAAATTCGGATTCCCTGTTATGGCGTCTGCCCTACCCCAGCGGCCACGAAGGTTTCCTATATATTTCAATGTAAAACTTGGATCTCCTGTTGTGGCTCTGTGCAACCTCCAGGGGTTATGATTTTTACAATATAGAATCCACACTACTTCAGGATGCTTCCAAACAAGTTTCAGATTTTCTGGTCCAGTGGTTCTTAAGAAGATTTTTACTATATATTTCTATGGTAAACTTGGATTCCCTATTTGCCTCTCCTTCCACCACAGGTCATGATTTTAACAATTAAGAATCTACACTATTGATACTTTCACACAAGTTTCAGCTTTTCTGGCTCAGTGGTCCTTGAGAAGAAGATTTTTTTATGGCCCCATCTTTTTATTTTTTTTGATTATCTCCCTTTGGAAGGGGGTTTGGCTCTTCATTTTAACAATTTACATTCCCCTTTACCAAAGTATGCCTTGTACTAAGTTTGGTTAAAATTGGCTCAGTGGTTCTTCAGAAGTTGAAAATGTGAAAAGTTTACAGACGGACGACAGGTTGATCAGAAAAGCTCATTTAAACTTTCAGCACAGGTGAGCCAAAATGAAAAAGTTCAAAATGTTGATAAAATACATACTATGAAAACAGATAGCAAGGAGTCGCTTCATGACTCAGGTGATGTAAATAAAGCATTACGCTACTCACATAAAAATTACCATGTCATAATGCCCATCTGAATGAGCAATAATTTTAAATGAATTTATAGCAAAAAATGGTCACTTAACATGATATACATGTAACAGTTTTTTGCTATTGTCATCAGATCTGTAAGCACAAATGTGACCCATCTGAAAAATAGTAGTGTGTAAGATGTCCGAATTAAAATCATACATCTGTGTAGGTTGTCACATTTTGTTTGAATATCACAACCAGAAGTCTCTGTCGAGACTGAAGCTCTACTGGTTTGAACTTATAGCAAAGGAAGAGAAAAGTACTTAAGCAGCTGGGATTTGAAACTAAATAGAATAATGATCGTTGATAAAGTCTCTTTATGTTCTTAGTGTAGTCTACTTGTGTGCCAAGTTATACTGAAATCAGATCAAAACTGTAGGAGGAGTAGCATTTTGAAACAATTTTACAGACATTTCTATTTTTAGTAACCACGGCAACACCGTTCATCAAAATTAAAATTCGATATACAGAATTATGTATCTTAGTGTATTCTACTTATGTGCCAAATCAAGACCAAAACTGTAGGAGGAGTAGCATTTTGAAACAATTTTACAGATATTTCTATTTTTAGTAACCATGGCAACATCGTTCATCAAAATTAAAAACCGATACACAGAATTTTGTATCTTAGTGTATTCTACTTGTTTGCCAAGTAATACTGAAATCAGACCAAAACTGTAGGAGGAGTAGCATTTTGAAAGAATTTCACAGAAATTTCTATTTTTAGTAACCACGGCAACACCGTTCATCGAAATCAAAAACCGATACACAGAATTATGTATCTTAGTGTAGTCTACTTGTGTGCCAAGTTATAATGAAATCAAACCAAAACTGTAGGAGGAGTAGCATTTTGAAAGAATTTCACAGAAATTTCTATTTTTAGTAACCACGGCAACACCGTTCATCAAAATCAAAAACCGATAAATAGAATTATGTATCTTAGTGTAGTCTACTTATGTGCCAAGTTATACTGAAATTAGACCAAAACTGTAGGAGGAGTAGCGTTTTGAAAGAATTTCACAGAAATTTCTATTTTTAGTAACCACGGCAACACCGTTCATCGAAATCAAAAACTGATACACAGAATTGTGTATCTTAGTGTAGTCTACTTGTGTGCCAAGTTATATTGAAATTAGACCAAAACTGTAGGAGGAGTAGCATTTTGAAAAATTGTTTACAGACAGACGGACAGCTAGACAGACAGCTAGACAGACGGACAGACGCCGGACACATTACTATCGCATAAGCTCTTCTGGTCTCTGACCAGTAGAGCTAATAAAAAGTCTTCCATATTATTCAGTACAGTGTACACTTAGTTACAAGGAAATTCCTACCATACTTCAAATACATTCTGCAACATATAAGATAATTTCTTAGGCACAAACAATGAAAAGGTTGTGAAGCAGTAGTACAAATCATGCACGTTATAAAAAGTTAGTTGAAAACATAAAATAATCAGAAAAGCTTTTCATCACTTTTAGCCAAACTGAGAAAAGGTAACTAGAGACACACCTCCTTTCATAAACCTTCTCAAATATAGGCTGAAATTTAAAAAAATTACACTCAATAAATCTTTCCTTTGGTGAAAATGCACTCTTAGTATTCAAAATTAATATCGAAACATAATGTAAAACAAAAGCAAAGTACAACCCATTTTTATTGCATGCTTTTGCATATTTTACTTTTCTATAGCAACAGTACCCAAAAATGTGCTTTCTAATATGTTAACAGTTTACATGTACCTGTAAAGCAATTTTTTCACATACTTTTCATACACACTTGAAGTGTCTAAATGAGTAAAATTCACTAACCTTCTTTCCCTCCGACAAAGTAATGCACATTGATCATATGATGTATTCATGTACATTATATAAATAAACCTTACTGGATCAAACACAACATTAAAGCCCTCTACACTGTTCTCCAAAGTAACAATGAACAAGAAACTGAGAACACATTCAAAGGTAAATAATTTGCACTTTAAAATGTCATCACTAACAACCATGTTTTTCATAGACAACCATATAACTTGGACTTTCATCTGTAATAATGGTATAAAACATTTTTGACTCTTCAGATTTGAAAATCACTCCATGAAAACAAAATAACAACAACAAAAAAAACATAGCACCCCCCCCAAGAAAAGAAAAGAAATAATCTGAAGCCTCCTTTTTTCTAACCCCCCCCCCCCATACAAGAGCTCATCTGATTTATTCTAAAGTGACTCAGACTAAAGTGATACAGTTGCTGTCTCCAATCAATCTTAATTTTAAAGAAACAAATAAACATTCCTTCTATACCAACAATTTTCATTTAGACCATCTAAAAAATACTCTTTGCCTTCCTAAATACAGGGTGAAAACAAATTAGGGGTAGATATATTACTCAATTTTTTTTTCAGAAATTTTAACATGAATGCTTAATTTCAAGAAATTCTTTTCAAATTTGAGATTCTGATTTTTCTTTCACATGTGCATATTTTGTACTTGCCAATATAAAAATTAAAATACAGTCTCGTGTTTTTGGGTGTGAAAATTTTGGTATTTATGAAAAATAATTTCTTTCAATTTAAGTCAGGATAATATAGTCCGAAGATGGCCCTAATAAAATCAAGTCAATATATAAACTTATATACTACAAAGGCGATAAAAGTTACTTCCTTTAAAGTCTAAAAGAATATAAAATGATGAGATACTATACTTTCCATATATACATGAACATCTGTGCTTTCTACATTGCGCTGATATGTCACAGGCTTTGCATTCATTATCAACTTTTGAAATGAAAGTTATTACACAAGAACTCTTGATATTCAACCAAGCACCAAAAACTCACTTATCTTGAAAAAATCCCTAAACATGCCAATTGATATAAGCAATAAGAATAAAAATAAAATTCATAACTGTTTGTTCCATACATCAAAAATCATACAGAATGAAAAAAAAGATTGACCTTGCTGTCATTTGCTGTAAAACATCTTCAAATATTTTAGCACTTAAACTTTCTACATCTGGTTCACATTCAATAATCATATTTTCTCATTGATTCGTTGACATGCCTAATTAAGTTTATTGCTACGCTTTTGTGTTTTTCTCCTCCCTTTGCTATTCCAACTAAGCAAGCTTTCACTGTATTCATTGCTACCAATAGATGCTTATCTTCCTCTGATTCAGCATCCTTCCGTTTAAAGACCAGGACTGGATTTCCACCATCTTCTACTTTTTTGAGAAAGGCGAACTTGGAATTCTCAAACTCTGGCCCATTTATATAAAAATCTGAGCTATCTTCATAGTGTGAGGCAAGTCGTTTTACTTGGGCTGGACTTGCAGACATTCCTGGTGACAAAGCCCATGGATTTCCTTCCTGATCATATATTCCACACTTCAACATAGTACTTCCATCACCCTTAAAGACATTGACATAAGCATCCCAGGAGCCCATTGTCTGTAGTTATCTGTAATAAGACAAAAGATTAAAAATACTAAATATTTCGTTAGCATCATTCCTCAAGTCCCCTTCATTCACAAGATATTTATCAGTTTTTTTAAACCTGTTATCTAATCATGAAGTAAACATGTTGAAGTTCCCCAAAATTATTTATGTGTGTACAGGATAATACGACGGGTGATCGAAAAGTTGCAAACTATCTCTATATCTACAAAACCAGAATTCAGATTAGGGAAAAAAATGGTACACATGTAGCCATACACAAGGTCTATAAATAGCATATGCTGAATAAAGCATTACTCCTCATTTGTGACGTCACAATGTAAAAATGACGTCACTATGCAGGTCACTTGTGATGAAAAACGGTTTTCTTAGTCGGACTTGTTCAACAAACAACTGTAAAATTTATGGTATATCTTAGAAATCCCTTGGAAGAAGCGTATACTAATTTTCACATACTTTAATAAGACGAATGACTTCTTATAAATTCCATCAATGATTGGATTGATCGTTTTAGTTAAGGAAGGCAGATGGTTAAAAATGATACTTGTTATTTTGCCCAGTGAACGCAAGTTTGAAAAGAGATGTGTATTTAATTAAGCAATTAGCTATCAAAGGCCACCAATTTACACTTTGAAAAATAGCTGAATATTTCAACAATAATATGATTATTAAATACCTACGATATCGTTTACTTTAGATTTTAAACATATTAGATATGTTAAAAAGGAGGCATCCATTCTCTATCCGCCTTGAATAAACGTCTCTCCCGAGGCAGAAGATTTGAGTTTTGATGGTCGCCATGCTTATTTTTGGAAAGGATATTCTTATCCACCCATTCTATTGCAGAGAATTGATCATTTCTAACAAATTAAATGGTCTTGTTATAAAAATTAACTTGCATGGAAAGAAATATAAAAATCAGAAAAATCTTTCAGCTTCAGTGACAGAATGCTGCGGAAGGGGTCAGGTGACTGGCTATATCACGTGATTCGTGCATGAGCAGAACGGTGGCAGGTGTGCATTAAAATCAGAGAGGACTAATTCAAAATATAATCAACACTGAAACCAAATATTGTGCCTTTTATGGAAGTTATTCAATTAGTTTGCGAACTTTTTGATCACCCCTCGTAAACTCTCAAAGTATTGATCATCAGCTGATTGACTTTCCATTGTCAAGCTTCACAGCATAGTCACTGATTAACGACAGTGTTTGTTTTAACACAGCCAACATTTCTCCATCTCAAGGTGCATGGCAGTCATAGTATAAACACAATTAACTACTCAAGTCATAAAAAACGTAGGTGTCAGGACTGAAATGCAATAGAATTTTATCATGGCGGCGGCCAATTTTAACCATGGGGCACATAAATTTAACCATGGCTCCCCTTGTAGAGAACCCTGCTTCATTCAAACCTTATTTATGATAGGTGGAGGAAAATGCATCATGTCGATACATTTCTCATCTTTTCTGCAGAAAGTTCTTTGAAAATTTTTCTTGATTTGCCCAATTTTTCACTGTAAATAGGTTTTGATTACAACATTATGTTAGTAAGCTTTGAAAGCAAAAACTAACTTAGTGTTGGGCGTATAACATTTGAATAAAATTCAAATTAGATCATATGACTGAATCTGCAAGATGGTAGAACACCTTTGACATCCGAGGTCAGTGTGCGAAGTATGAGCAACCCTGATGGAGCTCTGAGTGAACATGTCGCGCACTTGGAGCTCCTCAGGTGGCTTGTACCTTGCACACAGTTAGAAGTGGAGTATGTCAGCCAAGGATTGCTGATTGCAAGCACCCTGCATATGCGGCCATCTTTTCTGTGTTTGTGACTTTCAGCTGCGCATCCCGATCTTTAATAACTTTGCATCACACGGTTCACACTGAATTTTTTTTCAAACGGTCATCTAAACCGCTGTTTTCTTCAAAGTTATCGGTCCAAACAAAGGACAAGTCTCAATGGGGCTTATCTGTGGTCCCCGGTTACTCGTCAAATTTCGAACATTTTTCAAACAAGAGGCCCACGGGCCTTATAGGTCACCCGAGTATTATGTAACAACTTTCCAACAATCGAATTTGGTTCCGTTTTAAACCAGGGGCCATGAAATTCACAATTTTGAAAGAGGCACAATTGCTTATCATAATTATAAACTTAGCATGCTTTTAACTCTATTTACTTAAGACCCAGAGGTAGATCAGAGTTAAAAGGAAAAAATGCACTTCCACTCTGTAAACCGTTGTGCACCCCACCCCAAAGAAACCACTGACCCTGGAGCTACATATTTCAAAATTTTGGAAATTTTATCCTAATTTTACTTCATCATAAATGGTTGATTAATACCTAAGAGCAGATTTCAAAGCATTAATTCATTTTCAGACTATGTAACCCTCCCCCCTTACCCAGGGGTATGAAATTAACCATTTTGCTAGATGCACCTTTCTTCATCCTAAATAAATATACTTGGATCATTAGCATAACATACAGAAGCAAAGGAAAAGATTGTCAAAGAATTAATTAATCAAAAGAGCCCCGCCCTAACACCAGAACCTCTGACCCTGGGGCCATAAAATTCACAATTTTATAGGAGGCACTGTTGCTCATCATAACTATGTACTTAATTAGTTTATTTAATACCCAGAAGCAGAGAAGAAGATTTTCAAAGAATAAAAATATAGTGCATACTCACTATATTATCAACAGAACCCCGCCCTAACACCAGAACCCCTGATCCTGGGGCCATAAAATTCAAAAATCTGGAAAAGGCACTGTTGTTCAACATAATTATGTGCTTAGTTTGTTTATTTAATACTCAGAAGCAGAGAAGAAGATTTTCAAAGAATAAATGCATTTTCACTCTATAATCAACACAGCCCCGCCCTAACACCAGAACCCCTGACCCTGGGGCCATAAAATTCACAAATCTGGAAGAGGGGCTCTTGCTCATCATACCTATGTACTTAGCTAGTTTATTTAATACCCAGGAGCAGAGAAGAAGATTTTCAAAGAAATAATGCATTTTCACTATATAATCTATATAGCCCCGCCCTAGCACTAGAACCCCTGACCCTGGGGCCATGAATTTCACAATTTTGGTAGAGGACTCAATGCTCATTACATTCATGCCAACAGTTTGCCTGCTTGATGTTCAGGAGTAAAGAAGACGATTTTTAAAGATTGCAATAATTTTAGTGCTTTTCGCCCTACCCCTCAGGCCCCAGGGGGGCGGGGACCATGAAATTCACAATTTTTGTTTCCCTTCACCCATAGATGCTGTATACCAAATTTGGTTGAAATTGGTTCAGTGGTTTCAGAGAAGAAGCTGAAAATGTTCAAATGTTAACACACGACGGACGAAAACGGATAGCAATAGGTCACCTGAGTTACTCAGGTGAAATAATAAAAGCCTTAAAATTAAAATTCATTATTAATTAATGTCTTTATTATTTGAGTCATCATCTAAAAATGTCAAATAATAGATATTTGCGACATACCAAGCTGCGTGTTGAAGTTAGGGCCCTTTGATTTTCATGAATATCAAATCGCTGACAGGTACACACTTTAAGCTTTTGTAAGCACCCAGCACAGGTTTGTTCAGAGTCAAATTAGATAAAATGTGCATATATTATGTGTAAAGGTTGAGTTAAAATATCTTTGTTGAATAACCTTGTGCTCTATGTTTTCTAATTAAAAGTATTATGATTTTGAACCTCTTTGCTGTCTTCATTTACATGCAATTAACCAATTAATTAAATGACCTGTTTGGAATCATAACAAGCCACATGGATTTATGTCATTACAGGTAAATGCCCACAGTATAAATGTGCTTGCTAGCTCTCAGTTAAAAAGTAATCTGAATTTCATATCGGTCAGCTTGGACTTCTTTGTTTATCTGAGTTACTCAGGTGACCTAATAAAAGCCTTAAAATTAAAATTCATTATTAATTAATGTCTTTATTATTTGAGTCATCATCTAAAAATGTCAAATAATAGATATTTGCGACATACCAAGCTGCGTGTTGAAGTTAGGGCCCTTTGATTTTCATGAATATCAAATCGCTGACAGGTACACACTTTAAGCTTTTGTAAGCACCCAGCACAGGTTTGTTCAGAGTCAAATTAGATAAAATGTGCATATATTATGTGTAAAGGTTGAGTTAAAATATCTTTGTTGAACAACCTTGTGCTCTATGTTTTCTAATTAAAAGTATTATGATTTTGAACCTCTTTGCTGTCTTCATTTACATGCAATTAACCAATTAATTAAATGACCTGTTTGGAATCATAACAAGCCACATGGATTTATGTCATTACAGGTAAATGCCCACAGTAAAAATGTGCTTGCTAGCTCTCAGTTAAAAAGTAATCTGAATTTCATATCGGTCAGCTTGGACTTCTTTGTTTATCTTGTTTAAGTGTTTCAGTGCTCAAGTTTTGTAGATAGAAAATTGTATTTGTAGTTGATTGTGAATCTTGAACATATAATTCATCTATGAAAGGAAAAGATCATATATCAAGAATGTTCTTTTTATAGTATCTAATCTAAATGTCTCTGCCCATTTCCATGTAAAAGGGAAACCATAGTCTGATGGCGGAAAATGTTCTGGCATTCTTTAGTGCGATGGGTGTTAAAAATTGGCTTGTATTTTTTGATATGTTTAATCATTCATTATGAATAAACAATGCCTTTATTAGAAATACTTTGTTATTCACAATGTAATCAAACAAAATACCCTTTGCTTATGTCTAATCAGTAAACCAAGGGTGTAAAAAGGGACCATGCTACTATACTTAAGTAGAATACTCCTTTTTACTGGCCTTGCCAACAGGATCGCCTGATTCTGACAAGTCTGGTTAAGATTCTCACAGTCAATAAACAAACTTGAAAAGAATGGGTGGACTTAAACTAGCTATGGAACATGATTTTTAAAGGCACTTCTCTGATTAAAAAACAATGCTTTATATTTAAGAGCCTTCAAAAACATTTCAAAAACAGTTTCATTTT